TAGCTATGTTAAGTCATTTGACCTGACGTTAAAGGCTTGTATGCACTTTTATTTTTTCTGTTAAGTGTAAGTAGGATGTTTCCAGACCTTCAGGTAAAATCATTGTGAGGTGACTATGAGGAATCTGACAGCCCTCTCCTAGTCCAATTTGTGACTGTCCAAAGATAGCAAAAGAAAGTACGTGGGACTTCCCTTGCAGGTAGGCAAGAGACTTAGCAAGAGACTACCGAAGGCACCTCAGTCAGAAGCCTGCTGGCATCTGCCCTGCAGCACATCTGTGGCAGTCTGTGACTAATTTTATTGAGAATGAAAAAGAAAAAAAAAATTCTGCCCTACAAGCGCTGATAGCTCTTGCTTTGTTTCCATGTTCTGATTTCAGGAAATGAGTGTTCAAGAAACTTCTGTGATCGTTAGTGAGACTCCCTCATTCGCGTAGAAAAAGAGATATCAGTCATCCTGGTTATGGTGATCTTAAAAAATAAGTCTTAAACACCTAAAACAAAAACCCGAATTTAAAGAGAGAGCATTTAAAAGATAATTTTTTTTTTAATGTTATGATGATGAGGTAGTGTGATTCATGATGCTTGAATGCTTACTATTTATATTTTGTTTGGAATTCCAAAGTTTTCTGTGGAAAGACAGTTGGCACTTACCTTTCTTTATCTGGCTTTATAATTCTGGTCTTGTTTGAGTTTCAAGCATGGCAAACAAGATAAAGAACTGAAACAACCATGTTCATATCCATGGGTTTTGCCATGGTCAACGATTTTTATTTTTAAAACTTCTGCCTTTGGAAAGAGGTAAGAAGATGCTTATTTTTATTGCAGTAGGAACTGATTGTTAACTTTTGTGATAATAGGCATATGGGTTTTGTTCATGACTATGGAAATGTTTTGCACAACACTAGGTAAATTTCTGTACCTTCAATTTCTCAGCAGTTTTCCTATAATTTTAAAGGACCGGGTTCAAAGGCTGGAAAGGAATCCAGCTCTTGTATGTTCTTGCCACTGTTTGCAGGCCTTTATTTCAGAGATCTCTAACTAGGTTATATCACACTGGTTGCGTTGAAGAATGTAACTTTTTCAGAGGGGTTCACAGAATTCATTTTAAACAAAGAGTCCAGAAAGGTTTTGTTGGGGTCCAGTCTCTGAGGGGGAGAGGGCTGTGCAATTAATTGTTTTAGGATGCCTGTTCACGTCTTTGGATAGGAAGTGCTGATTAGTGCTTTTAACTACATAAAAACATCACCATAATCTTTTCTGAATGTATTCTGCTGTCTGGTTAAGGTATACGTAGGTCTGAGAACAGACTGCACGCAACACCGTATCAGTTTATGAAATATATTCCATATAATGTTACTTTTTAAAATGTTTTAATTTAGGTCAGACTTCTAACTACACTTGTCAAATGCTTTTGTAAAGAGACTAATTCATAGAAAGCTTGGGTCTTGAGTTTAAGCATTGAAACTATGTGAACATTTTATGATAGCCAGATGTCAATTAATAGCTTGGCAATAGTTCATTGGTCTTTCCGTTATTTTCTTTTTTGTTTGTTTTTTTACATGTAGCATATGTGGAATAGTCAGCAAATGAGAGTTTTATCACTCAGATACAGTTTGACATTTTTTAACACTTTTTAAACTTTACAAAGACCTGTTTACCATATGCTATAAGTGGGTGTGCAGGAAACGACACTGTTTCATGAAGTCTGATTATGCTGTACTACTTTTCCATGAACTGAGCATGAAAGTTTCCTTTTAACGGTGTGCTGAGGGCAACCCTTTGAAGCATGGGTGTATAAGTTTGGACAGTAACATTTATGTTTGAGTGCTTCTGTAGGTGACAATGTTTTTAAATCACTTAGTCCTTTACCTTTTCTTATTTAAGTCTGTCCTTGAAAATTTTCTCCCCATTAATTTTGCGACATGTGAAAGTAAGTAACCAGAAAGCAGAATTTATATATTTTTTCATTCTTGCAGTAACCAGTTATTATTGCTCCTGTCCCAAGTATCCTATTTCCTGTTTACATTCAGCCTTTTCTTTTTAAAGGTGCTGCAGAATTTTGTGGCAATTCCATGATCCTTGAATTGAAATCCTGTCTGTAATTAAGTTGAATTAGTCGCAGTAGTTTCTTCAGAGCTAGGGTCATTGCAGCCTTCAGTGATATTAAGATAGCGTTTCCAAATATTGTTCTGGCTTATTTGCATACAATTATGGCTTACTTCAGTTGGTTTACTTCAGTTAGAATTAGCACCTCATGCAAGGATGGGAGCACAGCCCCTAATGCATCGGTAGCGTACTGCACCTTGCCTGACACAGCTCTGCCTAGTGCAGTACCTCAAACGCACCTTGGACCAGCGTTAGAGAGGGCACGAAACATTTTGCTGAGCATAGACTAGCAACTCGTGCTTGCTCCCAATGCAGACAGGAGCTCCTGCTTCTGTTCAAGCAGCCATTTAAAAGTAGAAAAGTACCTGTGGGCAACCACTTCTCAAATTACAAGTTAAAGCATCATTTAAATGCCAAAAGGATGCAGTTTATTAAAGTGTTTTTACATACATTCATAAATGTTTAATACACTGTCCCGTCTAGAGGCAATTTTCAAAAAATTACTGGAAACTAACATATCTCTCTTTGAAATTACATTTAATTCTTTCTTCTGCTTATCAGATAATTAGCAGGTTGACTAATTTTTAAACAAAGTTTGGTGAGCAAAAATATTGATCCAGAGCTAAAACTTCAGGGGATTTTTGTTCATTTGTTTTCTTAAGTTTGTTCTTCAGCGTTAGTGCCTGGCAGCGTCTGTGACAATAGCAATACCCTTTTCTTTCTTAGTAGGGTCTATAATAGCTACTCCTTAAACAGCGTCTTAAACAGGGCCTGTTGGGACATATTTGTAGTTTATGAAAATATATAATTTCACAAACTGCAGTTCTAAAAATATATTTAAAAAAAAAAGACTGCTTAACATGTGAGCCTCGTGGCATAAGGATTTTAGTTTTAGTAAACTGTATTTACAACTGCGCACAAGTTTTCTGCTCCTTTAAAAAAGACAGCATCTTTATTACTTGGTAAAGCAAAGGCAGGAGGAAGAAGATTCGGGTAAAATAACGCATGTAAATCTACATTGCAGGGATAGCGTTTTGCAGTATTACAGCCTCCTGGCAGCAGCACTCAGGAAGTGATGACTGCTCGTGCCACCAGTTGCTTTTCATACATGACCTCTCTAATCCCGATAAGGGTGTCTTGAAGAGTAGCAACAGTGCATCTGCCCATCTTTCCCCCACCACGCTCGTCTCCAGAGGAACCTCTGGCGTAGCTGATCTGCCGCCAGCCCGCGCGCTGCTCCCCTGCTGCTGCTCCGGCTTCCCGCCCGAACCCACCTCCGGCGCGGCGTGGCAGCCCCCGCTGGAGGCACTCTCTTTTACCAGGTGAAATAGCAGCTCTTGCGCTACTTGCCATGAAGGAAACGGCTCCGGCCTGGCTGTCGTGAAGTACGAAACAAAAGCTAGCGGTCTCAGGCCGAAAAACACAAATCCACCTGCGTCTACTGCTCCGGTGGGAGAGAGCTGCTGTGGCAGGCGTGGGCCTCAGGCCAGGCCCGGCCCTTACTTGGGGCCTCTCTTAAAGCCCTTCGCACCTCGTGTCAGTGTGTACCACATCACATATTTAGCTAACTGTTTGTATTGAAAGGGAATACAAAAAGAAATGGAAAATGATTTAACTTCTTAGAAGTCTTTTGATCAAGATTTTTTTTTTCTCAAAAAACTTACTTTTGTATTAAGGAACAGTATTTGCTGTGTCTTGTGAGATCCTTTGCTGGTATTCTACCACTATTTGTATTCATTTACAAGAACCTTTAATACGCAGCTTTTTCCAAATTGAGATGCTCTTAATAGCAATGGCTGCAAGGAGGGTGATCGCGGTTGTTGCTTGGTTAAAGGCCGTGGGAGCTGTGAAATTTTTAGGAAGCTGTAGACTACCTTGAGCTTCTTATTAAAAGTACATCATTTCACACACATACTCTAAAATAAATCTATTTCCCAGACTGTGTCAATGACACTATTTATCTGTGCAAATTACAGGGTTTGAGACGAAGTAAACTTTGGGATATGAGTTCAATTACGTGATCTGCTCAGTAACATGCTGAAGTTACCTAACATTCAATGTAAGCTCTAATACTTGGTTTTGTTAATTAAAGATAGTTTTTAATACTTGTGAATAGGAAATAGATTCAGCCATTACTATCTTAAGTGCAATATTTTTACAATAATGCGTAAGAATTGTAATTTATAAGGTTTCTAAGTACACAGTGGCAAACTAAGGAATTGCGTTGCTCTCATTACTCATTCACATTGGTCTTCAGTTTTTGAGTTTTATTAATGTTTTCTGTGCCTACGTGCATCAAAGGGAGTAAATAATCATCTGAAATGTCTCTATGAGAAGCTTCCATGTGTTTGAGGAAACCTTGGCTTAAAACAAAACTAACTTGCTGTATAACTATTTTTGGGATACAGTGGAGGGAGGGGGTCCTGCAAGGAAGAGGACCCTACTATATGTCTTTATGAAAACTGACGGTGTGCGAGTCTTTTCGGTTACGTACAACAACTATAAAGGAACCTTGTTATGAATTTGTAGTTAAAATATTCTTCTTGGTTGCTTTAAAATACAAAAGGCCTATAAATTCTATTTTATGCGTTCAAGGAACTAGACAGCTTTCACAAGATGAATGTTTAGGAGCTTTTTGGTAAAGATGACAATAACCGATATCTTTCCTTTTTTTATATGTATTTATACAGACATTTTAGATTTTTTTTCTGAAAATTGTTTGTGTTGTATAACACCAATATACAACTAATTAGAGGCACACAAACTATTAGCCCAGTTTTCCTAATTAAGCTTTCTTTACTTTCACTAAATCTTAATAAAATGTCTTGCTTTTTACATCTGATGCTGAAAATTCCCTTTTCTGTATCAAATAGGATTTTTTTTCTTTTCCAGATTGTCACCAATTATTCCCGTTTTCAAAAATACTCAGAAGAGCCCAAAGTATACACAGTTCCTGTCTACATTACTAGAAGAGCTGCATTTCAAAAATGAAGATCTTGAAAGTTTAACGAGAATATTTAGAAAGGACAACTTACCTGAATGGTCAGTCAATGTAAACATTTAATATTTTCATATTTAATGTGAATTTTGCATTTCATGAAACTAAGCCAGTTAACGAGGATTTTATTTTTCAGTGTTTGTAAGCATGCACTGTAACTACAGATCATATCAGCCAGAGCTGAAAATGCGTAAAGTACATTTTAAAGTGAAGAAATATATATGACATGGAAATTAGTGTTGTCATTTTGTCACTTACAGTAAATGCCAGCTACTTGTTACTTATCACTTTAATCTTTTGATAATATGTAGTTGGTTTACTGCAATTTTGAGAGGAATTTTTGCTCAAGTTCTATTCGAACTTAAGGAAAACAAAAAAAACTGTGTGGCTACAACAACTAAGTCTCAGCAGTTTTGTTTTTTATTAAAATGGTTGTTACGTTTAGTCTTCGATATATAAAATGAAGTGTTAGAAACTACTTTTTTACATAATATTGAGATTACACTTTGCATTCTGGATAGGCTGAAAAAACAAGAGTAAATGCTTTATTTATACTGGATACAACGTTATAGTATATAATTAATCAGTTTATTAACATTACTAATCATACTCCTTTGTTACCGACAGAACAAGATGGTCATCTTAACATCTCCTGCTGTCCAAAGCGGTGGTATGGAGAACAATAAAATATCTTCAATTGTTGGGACTTTTTTTTTTAATGAAAAATGAAATTAAGTATTGATTGTATTTCTTGCACTTTTGCATTTTCATTTCGTTCCTATGAATAAGAATCTTGAAATCTTTCAGAGAAGCTGAATAAAACAGCACTTGTTCAAGTATGGCTAAAGACTGGTTAAGATTTGAATGGTCTGAAAACTGCCGGTTTAAAAGCAGTAGAAGGGGACTTGGATTTTTTTTTTTCTTTGCTTTGCAAATTTTCAGCCAATTTTCCTACAGGCATCGGGGAAAGAAAGGAAGAATGAATGTCAGCACGGAGGACTAACTGCTGCTGGCATCTTTCCTGTTGACTCAGTGCATGAAACTGTATTCTCTAAGAACGATGAAGTCTGTATCCAAAGATGTCTGGAGCCTGTTAACGTGTTACTTCTAAGAAAAAGGCTGGTCTTTTGAGCTTGTGTAAAACTTATTTTTAAAGCCCAAAGTACTAACAAGTAGAGAATGCTTAAAATAGTTTTTTAATAACAAAAGACTTGATTTTTGGCTTTTGGTAGTCATTTCATTTAAAATAATTGTTTTGTTTAGATTGAGAATGTTTTCACTTGTCCCTATTACTAAATAAGTATAAAATGCAATTTAAAATTAATCCACTTGTAATTCTTAGTGGTGTCGTCAGATGGTGTATTGTATAGTTCTCAGTTCATAGCACACTGTCCTTTGGCAGACTTAAAAAGAAAGTTGTAACTGACAGTGCTTGGTTTGCAGTAAATGCTAACGCTAGTTAAGACTGAAGCAACGCTTACCAGGACTGCTGCATAGCAGCTCCACTTAGAAACAAAGAATTTTTTCTTTTGTCTTGTTTCTGTAATTGGATACCAAAAGGGAACTCTGCACATAATTAGTTTACTGCTGGGTAGTTCCTTCATGATAATCAAGAGATAACTGTGTTCTCCATTGTGCAGTAGAGCTTATTCGGGTGATGCATGGCTTCTCAAAACTTACCTTGTAATGGGAAGTTATGTTCAGCTTAACCTGTAAAAGCAGTCATTTAGAATGAGGAGGACCTTTAATGCAGTGTTAAAGCCGTATCTTTTTCTAAGTACGCAATAGGGGAAAAAAATACCCATCACAGTTGGTGTGTGTCTGATGTCAAATTCATAAGAATGCATGATGTAATCTAGATAGAAGATACATTATTTTGTACCGTGATGGAAAACTTGTTTCTAGCTACATATGCAAAGAAGGGACAAGACCTCACCAAAATATGAGCTTATAGAAGACTGAGTAATGGGTAAGATCCCTGAGCAAAACATACATCTTGAATTTGTATCTGCTGCTGATTTAGGAGATTGAATATATCACAATTTTTTTTATTTATTACTCTGCTGTAGATTCTGAGTAAGCCACTGTTCTGTTCCATGCATCAGTTTACCTTGGGACATAAAGATTGCAACTACCCCATGACAATGCTGCTAGTGACTACACTTAGAAGGAATTACAAGCATACATCATACTAGGAATATGACTGTGTTTCTTCAGCTTCGATGGCTCTCATTTGAAGTTTTTACATTTCCTGTCAGCTTAGCGGTGTGATTTTGTTAGTTATTTTTAGGCTTGTTCTTCAGCATTTACTGTGTTGGAAACATCTGAACTTGTAATACGAGTGAACAGGTCGCAGGCCCAAAGACCTCTTTATTGGGGTTCACTGTAGCTGCTTTCACTGCCTGCCTTAAGCAGCTCCAAAAAAAAGTAAATTTCCATGATTTTTGCCTCTCCTCCTTGGCTGCTGTGCTTATATAAGCTCACTTTTTTTCCTTGCCCTGAGGGGAAAAAGAATAACCTTTCTTCTTCCATGACCTTTTTCATCAGTCCAGAAGAAAGACTTTTATAATATGCTGGAAATTCCCTGATTCTTCACTTACCTGTAATGATTCCATCTCCCTTAGACTTGATTAAAATATGTGTCAGTAAATGCAGAAAGTGTACGTATACCCATTACTTTGCGACAGTAGAAAGGCTATAGACTCATCTAAAAAGGATCTTTTGTACTACCAGCCTTAACCTGTTCTGCAAAAAACACAGCTCAAGCATCAGAAGACAAGTTCATTCATCCAGTTTTCTTATAAGCATGTTTTCTAACAGCTTAACTGGGTAGAAATTTTCAAATCTAGCCCTAATATATGAACTTAAAACTTACTTTCTGTCACAACTGTCTGTCCTTTAACAGACTTCTTTAATCTCTCTCGGCCCACAATTTATGTATTTTTTTTCATTTTGGTTAATGTTTGCAGGCAGATTGTTTCCTCATGGCCTTGCTGCTGTGCTTACTGTTTTTCCTTCCTATGTTAGCTTAGTGGGTGAGAACAGGTGACACCCGGCTCAGTGGTGGGTTTGAGCCTTATCTCACATGTGCTGCATTTCAGTGTCTTGCTGGTAAGCTGCAGGAGCGTGGGCCATTACTGCTCTGGGGCTTAGAGCAGCTGGGAATAAGCCCCTTGTGAACAGCACCGTGGAAGGGGCAAGGACTTGGCAAAGCCATCACACCTTACTTAGATTGAAAGGATCATAAAAGTGTAGCCTATTGCAGTGACCACGTGAAGCATCCAAGCGTGTCTGGCAGGGAGCCTGTATCAAGGCAAATATAGTATGATATAGTTTGTTGTAATAGCCGAAAAAATCAACCTCTTCTGTGTTGTTTTTTCTCAACATATATAATGGGTAAAGAACAGAAGAATGCTTTGTTTAAAGCTTAAAGCAAAGCCTGCTTCATGCTGCTGCAGCTTCTCAGCATTAAAAGAGTAGTGTGTGTGATACACCTGCATGGTACAGATACGGATTTCTTACAGGGTTTTCTGTAGATACAATGAAGTCAGCTCAGAAAGAGAACAATGTTAATAAAAGCACATTTACAGGGAAAGCCAACAGTTCCTGAGTTATTCAAAGCAGGCTTTGTGCTGGCCAGAGAGGGTGAAGGAAAAGCTTGCATGTCTATTTTTCACACCAAAGTTGAGTTCAAGCCCCTGTAAATACTGTCAGTGTAAATACTGTGCTCTGTACTACATCTTCTAGCACAAAGCCCTTCACTACTGCCACGCCTTCCTTGTGCCCATTGACCAAGCCTGCTGAGCTAACAAGACTGTCCTGCAGATCTTTTTGCTGAATCTGTGTGTCCTACCCTTCTCGCCCTAGCTTGAAGGAATCTGGACTCTACAAAATGCAAGCGAGGATGAGGCAGTACGGCTGGACATTATGTCTCAGCTGACCTTTAACACCTGAATCAAAAAGAACTGACCCACACAAGGGAGAAGAAAAAGGAAGAGAGAAGTGGAAGGTACTGTTCCTATCTTCCAAATTTAGGTATCCAACCTTAGCTACCTGCCTGTCTCTGCGTCAGAGGGAACTGAGGTCCTTAAGCTTAGGTTCTCCAAATCATACTTTGGATAACTGTATGAAGTGGGTGGTGTTAATGCCTCCCCTCTTCTTCCCTGGTGGCAGAACTAGAGCAGATATAAATCAGCAGAGAGCTTTGCCCATAGTAGACTGGCTATCCCTAGACAAAATATTTGGTAATAAAGCATGGCACAAAACTCGACGCGGCCTGCCCCCGCAGAGCAGGAAACTTCTAAGCTGTCTAATCTTATCATTCTTTTATTTTGATGGCTGCTTTTCCAGTTTACAACTGTTTCACAGCATTGAATATTTTTCTTAACCTGCAAGAGTTATAACCAAAAGAACTGACATGAATGGGAGTATTTGGGAATAAATTAATGCCAGTATTGAAAGTACTTTCAGGAGGTTACACTCTAGTCCTAGGATTTGCCTATAAGCTTTCCATACTTACTGTTTGTTTCTGCAGTGGCTTAAGAGCATCCAGTACTGTGGGTGGAGTTTAGCTTGGTCTCACTGGGGTAACATGTAATGGTGAACTGTCATTTCCAGTGGTCATTAAATATTGAAAACACAGAATGAGTCTCCTGTTGGCAAGTCTTAAGTTTCCATAAGTGGCAGGTGGTATATAAGGCAGGGCTAGGCACTTGTAAAACCCTCTGTGTTTCTCCATTGCATGTCTCTACCACCTGACAACCCGTCCTCCTCTGATCAGAGTCAGAGGAAGTAGGTGTGCCTTCCATTAGCAAAGACAGAAAGTAATATTGCTAGAGCTTTCCCCCCTACTTGTGATGTTTCCCCTTAGAGCCACTTTTGCGCACAGGCTTCAGACAGCATTTCGGGAGCTGGGCTGCCTGGACGAACCTCTCAAAGGTGAACTGTGATGTTTGTGGTGCTAGCCAAGGTTTGGGGGTGGGGGGAAGAGAGCTGGAAACCTCTGCCTTCCAGTAGCTGTCGTTTGAGCACTGGTTTCAAAAAGCAAGTGAAAGCATGCATTGCCTCAATAACTGATCTGACACAGGTGATTAGTGTTAGTCACCTCCCCTCCTTGGCTGCGTGCAGCTATAGAACAGGGAGCAACAGCAAACTGGAGTTTTGAAAAAATAGATATAACTAGCCCAAAGTAGCAAGAATCAGCAAGAAGAAAAGCATGAAACTAGTACAAGCCTTTTTAAACTGTCCATATCCTGGAAAATGGGCAATACTAATGTGATACCCTTTGGGTGTCCTCCTCAGTGTTTTCTGAAAGCCTCCTCAATACCGAACCAAGTTTGGGGCAGCGTTAACAGTTGTGACGGGTCTGGAAACACCAGGAACAGAGGCCACCAACTTTCTGACCACCGTTTCTAAGAGCTGAGAGCCATGTTTATCCTCCCACTGATTTTGCCACCATGGTTGAATTTGCCAGCTTAAGTCCTTAAGTCCTACTTAGGAAGGCATTACTGACCAGAATAATGCAATACGTGTGACTCCCTGTTGCAGCTGAGATTTCCACCTATGGGTTTTACCATTCTGTCCTATGGTTACTCCCAGAGAACAGCTCCCTAACCAGATGCCTTTCCAAGGACAGCACAGGGCTGACAGTGGTGATAATAAGGCAGTCACAGCTCACCAGTTTGAGAACTCCCTACTTCAAAGTCTGTCCTCCAGAATCTTTTGGTAGCCTACACTTTAAAGGCAATATCTTTGGTAAATGTTGGCAAGCTGTGATTACCTGCAGGAGCTGCACCCGCAGATCAGAGAACAGGGTAGGCAGGATTATTGATTGGTAACATT